GCGGTTTACACACACACACACACACACACACACACACACACACACACACACACACACACATATATATATATTTATATATATATATATTTTTTTTCAGGATATCGTCAATGTCAGTATACACTTCCTCCTCCTCTTCCTCCCCATCATTATAATACCTATCATCATCCTCATCCTCTTTATCACTATCCTCCTCTTTCTCCTCCTCCTCCTCCTCATCATCACACATTTACAAAATAAAGAAAAAAAAAGAAGGAACACAAAGACAGGAAACTCAAAACTCAGAATATTATTATGAAAACCTGGCTGATTTATGGACGTCTCATGGGAAAGCATTAATGTTAAAATGTTAATTACTGGTTTAATGTTTGCCTTCATCCCACGATTTATAATTCTAATTTTATAATTTTTATCTTTATCTATATATATATCTATCTATCTATCTATCAGTGATAATGATAATTATAATGATGATTATGGTCATCATGATGGTAGTAATAATAATAATGATAATGATAACAATAATAATGATAATAATGATAATAATAATAGTAATGGTAATGGTGATAGCAATGATACTTACAATGATAACAAGCATATAAATAATAATGATAATGATAATGACTATTTTAATAATAACAGCATAATAATGATAATAATAATAACAACAACGATGATAACAACAACAATAATGATGAAATAGCATGAAAAATAATAGATGATGGTAAAACCAACAATAAAAATAATAAGGGGGATAGCAGATTATGCTAATACTATTAATGGAACTTTGAATATCGAGAATCCTGGGAAAACATTTACGAACTTGACCCATGTAGCGCACAAAGAGAGAGACAGAGAGAGAGAGAGAGAGAGAGAGAGAGAGAGAGAGAGAGAGAGAGAGAGAGAGAGAGAGAGAGAAGAGAGAGGGAGAGAGAGAGAGAGAGAGAGAGAGAGAGAGAGAGAGAGAGAGAGAGAGAGAGAGAGAGAGAGAGAGAGAGAGAGAGAGAGAGAGAGAGAGAGAGAGAGAGAGAGAGCGAAAGAGGAGACAAAAAAGTAAAACACAAGATGAAGATACTAAAAACCATAAATCGCTCTACCAGACACATTCCTGCCCTCTGGGTGCTGGTAGCGTGTGGCAAATATTCACGTCAGACCAAGAGATTCTAGAATATTCCAACAACCTATCATACTGCGGCAACAGCCCTATTATCTCTCGCTGCCAAAAACGACTCCCAAAGTATCTGTGGGGAAAAGCTTCAGGTGGAACTCTGCATATATAATGCATTAGGGGTCGTATGTTCTCATGCAAGAGGCAGGTTTCTTCGAACAGAGAACAAGGCATGTTGTGAAAGAAGCTGATGTTTACGAGAGGAATATTTAGAAAGACGATATCGTGTGACTTGTGAAATGTGTAAAAAAATGAGTGTTTGCTGTTGGTTCTTTACATGAATATGTTTTATAGCGGTGGGAGAGGAATTTGGTGTACGTAATAAGACAATGCTCTAAGATAAACAAGCGTTAGTTGCAAAGTTGGGTCGTTCATGAAAAGTCAACCTTACGGAAACTTTTGAAAAAGGAACAAAATTCTTTAAAACGGAAGGGAAATTATTCAGGAGAGAGAGAGAGAGAGAGGGAGAGAGAGAGAGAGAGAGAAAGAGAGAAAAAGAGAGAGAGAGAGAGAGAGAGAGAGAGAGAGAGAGAGAGAGAGAGAGAGAGAGAGAGAGAGAGAGAGAGAGAGAGAGAGAGAGAGAGAGAGAGAGACAGACAGACAGAAATAGAGAAAGAGAAAGACACAGACACAGACAAAGAGGAAAGAATAAAAAACAAACTTATCCACATCAGAAACCAGAAATTCAGAAACATCCTTTAATATCGACTTCCTTCTAGGCCTCGAACCCCCAGCCAAATAAACGTCTTAACACATCTGCTGTTGACTGGCTCCGAAATCATTAGCTAAAGGGGAGCGAAATCCAAGTGAAGTTTGCAAGACGGAGGATGTTGCGTGATGTTGCAGCCTCCTGTAATTAAAGCCGGGTTGAAGCGTTCCTTTTGTGAACTATTCAAGATACGATGTCCAAAGACTACAAGAGTTAGCCTTTGCAATTTCAAAGCCGCGGCCGGGGCATAGTCTTACGGAGTCCTGGGGGGAAGTGTATATGAATATATATATATTCAGGTACGGTGGGGGTTATATTTTGATTTTTTTTTTGACGCGGTTCGGTGTGTTTAGATCATCTATTTTCTAAGGAGGCAGAGGTAGATCGGTAAAGATGGATTGTATTTAGATCTTTATCTTTGCACTGATCTATGTGTTTTGTTTAAATCCATATTTACTTTCTCTCTCTCTCTCTCTCTCTCTCTCTCTCTCTCTCTCTCTCTCTCTTCTCTCTCTCTCTCTCTCTCTCTCTCTCTCTCTCTCTCTCTCTCTCTCTCTCTCTCTCTCTCTCCTCTCTCTCTCTCTCTCTCTCTCTCTCTCTCTCTCTCTCTCTCTCTCTCTCTCTCT